AGAATCCGAAATCTGATCTTCTGTGTATAAGTCAAACTCTATACACCAAATTATTTACAATATAAAATAAAAAATACACATGCATAACATATATTTGATATAATGCAAATAGTTTACCCATACAGATTATTAGTAAAAAATGAAGACTTTTTCTGAGTTCCATTACACAAAATAAGTGTTTAGTTTATAACTCTATCACTAGAATCTTATTTATTAACAATACCTAAATAACCTCCCACTGTCCCCTTATATATCATATGCCTCGAAATGTGCAAATAATCAGGGAGATTTGCTCTTGACTAGACTAGATATGTTGCATGTGGACATAAAAAGGAAAAATTTGCAGTCCAAATACTTAGGGGAAGTAAAATTTTAAACTTGGCATGAAGTCACATATTTTTTCTTGTTTATTTTTCACTTATTATTTTAATTGAAAACACCAACTAAGGAGGGAGAACTAAGCATACGAGGTAATTTAGTTCAAACATATTACATATTTGCACTTGCATGATGTATACATACTTATGCCTTATGCTTCGCTTAGTGCTTTTTATTCCTGTGATTATGCGATTTATTTCTCTAACATATGATGGGTTTCATGAGATTTTTTGATTTGAGTGATGATGAGTAGGACTATGATCTTCAAACTTCATTCAAAGATATAGATCCTTATACTATATAGAGATTTCAGATGTATGCATGAGTGTTGAGATTAAATTTATAATTCTTTTGTTTAATGATTTGGGTTGAAATCTTTATTTTAAACTTGTGTATTTTGTCACGAAATTTCCAAAAAGGGATATTGTTTGATCATATTTTGTAATTAGTTAATTTTGTAGAGTCCATTGTAAAATCTCAACCATGTTCATGGTCATCATACTATCAAGTTTAAGATCCGAAAACAACATTAAAGGAATGAGATCAAGTATCAAAGTTGCATCATTTAACCTCCATATACACTTTCATGCTTAGAACAAAGGTAATGACCTAGATACTTAAGATAAACCATTAGTTATTGTAACTTAGGATAGGATGAAAATAAAATTAAAAGTGATCCGATTATGAATCCTAGGTGATTTTCAAATAAAAGTTTTTGTGAACTATTTTTGTATTTTGAAAACATAAATTAAGTCACAATTAGACCCCTCTTTGAGTAACACCCTTTAGTGTTTAAGAGGACAAGTTTTTGCATGGTTTTAGGCTTAAAAAATCTATAGGAACTGTCATATTCTCGCTATTCTTTGCTATAGCGGTCTCCAAATGACTTAGAATAAAAAGAAAAAAGGAAACGGGAGATCAGTACAAGGCTCACTCTATGAGCTCGCTCGAGCAGTCTCCATGGTTGCTCAAACGGTGCCCATGATCACTCGAATGGTCCTAGTCCTTGGCTGGTTTAAGACGTTTTTCATTCAAATGTCAACTGCCCTCCACCGATCAAGCGATTGTTCGCAAATTTGAATTTTCTTTTTTACTAACCCTTATTCTACACCTATAAATAGTGACAGTCTTTCACACATCTAGGTCAAGCCTTAAGAGAATATTTTTGAAGAGAGAAATATATCTTTCAACCTTAAGAGCTTCCACCATAATCTAGATCCCTAAGATCTAAAGGCTACCACTAGTGATTTTTTTCATCTCACAGCTTGGAGTAGAAGAGTTTGTTGGTGAACAAACCCATTAGTGTGTGCATACCATAGATTGTTGGCGTGCCCATAATCGCTTGAGGCCTAGACAAACCGTGCAGCAGGGAGGTCTAAGTGAAGTTACACCTGATGTCGGAGAGAGAGTTTCGGCTGAGAGACATAATAAGGAAAGGAGCATCTAGCCATGGTGATGGTTGAGGTATAAGACTTAAGTAATTGTATGTTAACTTGACAAATAATGGACTAGGCTTCGGTGAACTCCGAATGGTTCTCCGAAGTTTTCCCGATGAAGTTTTTCTGCGTCAACAAATTGCTAGTGTCGCTTATTGATTATTGTTCACACTTACATTTGTTAGCACACACGTGCACTATGTGTTTGATATCATATTATCCGTAGTTGCAAAATTGGGTTTATGGGTATATTAGAGTCATGGGATTGACTTGAGTGAATTAATTAAAATCAATCGTCATGGTTCAAAAGGTTGGTGGTGTTTGAAAAGGGATTCTCATCGTTAATTTACATATTTGATTGAGAAAAAGTATTTTTGGTAAACATTTGTTTTAATAGGTAATTGATTCGAGCTAATTTTGAAAAAACTATTTATCTCTCTAGGTTAAGTGCCTTGGACTGCACATGTATAATCGTGAGAAAACATCCGTATCGAGTTTCCCTCCCAGGACAACAGATTGCATCCAAACTGTTAACCTGCAAAAAGTTAATAAAGAAAATTATTATATTAAAATTGTGTGTAATTGTAGATCCGCTTCAATAAAAAACACACGACAAACAGTAATAAAATTTATACACCTATATGTCACCTGTTTTGAAATAACAAGTGTCGATCCTCTAATGTTCATGATAAAAGATCAATGGTCACTCCTGTTTTCATACAAATCTGATAATTGTAAATCAAGTTATAGATAAACTCCCACTTGTATATCATTACATGACAAATAAGTTATGCAAAAAAACTATATCCCATAATCTTAATTATTCTAAATGACTTTATTCCCTCTAGGAAATTTAAAAGATTGATGGTTTTATAATGGGGTGGAGTCACTTGATCATTTCATATGAATGAGACAATTGGAAATGAAGTTATAGTCAAACTCCCAATTACATATGATTCTATGTCAACAAATGAAAAATATCCCACAAACTGAAGTCTTCTTATTTCATATCTTATTCTCTCTAGGAAAATTTTGAATGACTAGAGCTTCAATATTTCAATTGAATATGCACATTTTGTAATGGATAGAGTCACTTGAACAATTAGAGCAATTATGATAAGTCTTTAATATTGTGAAAATAAAATTAAGTAGAAAGCAACGAATGTTACAAAATTGAAATGTAATGTGCATTTTTTTATCGTAGTAAATCAATAACGGGCTTTTGTTTGAGAAGAAAACTTAGTTCAAAGTTAAAGGCATAATGATAATGTTACAAATGCTTTTAGTTTAGTAACAATGAACAATTTTGTAACTTCCATTCTCGAAGTTCTGAAAAAAAAAACAAAAACTCAATTTTTTCCTAGTTATCTAGAAAGATACACAATTTTGCATGTATAGACTTGGTTAAGACATTTTTATAGTTGAAGAGAAGCTAATGTTTTGTGCTTTTTTTTTTTTTTTTAACTCTAAGATCATATTCTAGAGAACAATATTTGGATAAGGAAAAGTTTAGAGAAACCTGGAACCATTTTGCACATTTAAATGTCTACATATTATTATATAACATTTTAAAAGCCTCATAGATGTAATACAATTGGAAAGATCCTAACAATTCATTATAAGAACAAAACCCTATAAGATGACGATTCTGATCTTAGGAATTATTAAATCATATAAATGATTGTTTGATATATCATGAAATTTTTTGTTGTTATGTTGCTTTGAAGGGTGCGCCAATCTCATCCTCAGAACAATGTTCTCTTTCAATCCTTTCAATCAATCAATATGACCTTCGACAATCACTTTTACTAAAAATTGAGCAGTTTCTTAAAAACTTGTTTCAGATATGAAATGTTGAATATTTCAAGATGTTCTTATTATTCACAATAAGACGATTGCCTAACAAATCACTTTTATTTTCTTACAACTTTCCTCTAATTAATTTTGTGTAAAGTTGTCAAAAAAAAATTAATGATATGAGATAAGTAAAGGGAAGTGCTCACCTCGCCTATCCTCCTCCTACACTTTTGTTGATTGTTAAGACAACTCCATGTTGTTGATACTCAGTTGGGAGCCTACTTCACAAGTAATTGCATCATATGCAGTTCTTCAATGATGTTGATTTATATACGATGTGCTCCTCGAGATTATAGTCATGTTGACTATATCATCATTGACCAATGACAAATATCTATGTATATGATTTTAGATGTTTAAAATGTAATAAAAGGATGTTTGTGCTTTCACAAGAGGAGAGATAAAAAGATTCGCTTGAACCTCGAAATATGTAGACAATAGTCAAATGTTATACTATCCAATTTGTAGTTACAATATATCTAACTTAGTCAAGAGTATTTTTTTTATAATAATCTAGCTTAGTCAAAAGTATTTTTTCATATAATTTTTTTTTAAAAAAAATTTAAAATAAAAACAAACAACAAGTCTGGATTAATGATGTCGTTTTATATATCCTTTCTATGTATCTTCATACAATTAAACACGAACAAATACCTCACGGTAGGTATGACTACGCAAAACTAATGCAAGTCAAACTCGTATTCCATCATTTTAAAACATTCACTTATTCTTCAATGGAAGAATGGGAAGAGAGCATAAATAGAATGATAGCTCGCCGTCTTCCAATATATTTGAGAGTTTTGTTTCAGATCATCTTACTTGGGAAGAGCCAAATACATATATTAATAGGGAGGAAAGAGAGTGTGGTAAGACTTGATATTATCGAGTGGTGGTTTTCGTCCATTATCCTTGTGGGAGTTAATCACTAGTTTGAACTAGTCAAACTCTGTCAATTAACCTATGTCTTATCAAGTTATGATATGCCCACCAATGGTCGGCTCAATATTCCAAATTTCTACATTACTGTATAATAATTCATTTTAAAAATATATAAAGTTAGAATTTAGAATTTCTTAAACCTTTAAGGAGAATTATAAAATTTTGGTGTAATATGCCTTTTTATTCAAATAGTTTCTGAGAAAAGAAAAACATTGAGAAATAAAAAGACAAATAACCCTTTTAGTCATGGCCTTTATAGGTGACAGTGACACATTCCCAGATGAGGGGCAAAAGAGGGAAAAAAATTAATCCCTGGTCACTGGGCTGAGCTTCCCTCTATGTGATAGGGGAGAGAGATAGAGGGGGAGAGGGTTAGGGTTTGACGGTGCAATGGATGAGATAACGGAGGGAGTGACCAACATCACCATAAGCGGCGATCCACACAAGAAGAATAGAATTCAGGTCTCCAACACCAAGAAACCCTTGTTCTTCTACGTCAATCTCGCCAAGGTATACTGTGTGTGTATCTGTATGTACCCACGCGAATACGTGTGCATACAAATTGGGGTTTCGTATTATCTATCAAGAAAAAATTGTAAGTTACAGTTAATCGATAAAGAAATATGGGTTTTGATATTCTGGATCTGGATTGGAGGTATCGGTGTTGTGTTTGAAGGGTGCAATTGGTGGATCGCGCGTTTAGCTCTCTTTCTGTTTTTTTCTGAGTGAAGGTTTGAATAAGTGAATAACAGGGTTGTTGGATTTGTATTTGCAGAGGTATATGCAGCAGCACAATGAGGTTGAACTTTCAGCTCTTGGCATGGGTATTCTCTCATATCCCTTGTTTTTCTACAATAGCTTATGCAGTTTAAACCTCCAAGAGTTGTCAATGTTTTCATTAATTATTACATCGGAGTTATATGGTGTATGTGCATTTATTGTTTCGTCCCAGGTATGTGTTACGGTTAAAAATAAGACTGTGTATATGAACTCTTGGGTACCCTTCCCTTGCAAGCTTGTTTTCATGGTCAAGCTCTATCAATGGGTACATAACAATTGATATATGCTTGCCACCACGTCGATCGAGTATGGGATCCAACGCAGTATTAGTTTCAATTCTCTGTTGTCGAGGTATTGAAGGGGCAACCTATGGGCTGGATGCATCGTATTATGTATTGGCATATTGTTACCTTATTGAATGCTGATGGTTGAGAGGAGTCGCCAAATAAAAAAGGCTACCGTTGGGTCAGTATTGATTGAGTGGGCCGCAATTGTGGAAGCGTGGTGGAATGTTACGATTTCGCATCGGTTAGAAATAAGACTAGATGTGTGTATATGAATTTTTGGACACCGTTCCCTTGTAAGTTAGATTTTAGGGGCAAGTTATACCCATGGGTACATAACAATATGTTTTTTTGCTTTGTCATGCTTATTGATGTAATTTTTTCCATTGCGGTGCCCATTTTGTTTTCTTTTTTTATTTTAAACAATGACAATGGATTATGAGATCCATGTGATGCTTGTGTTTAACTGTGCATAAAAAACAAAAATACCAAGAATGATAGGAAACACATCAAAAATCATGGACCTAGAAGCAAAAATCCACCTGAACGTCTGCAAAATATGAACCCTAAATTGACAAGACATGGCAGAGAAGTAGTTTTCTTCCTCTTCTAGAGAATGAGAGCCACTAATCACAGCCATCTCAGATTTCCTCTCTCTAAGATTTTCGATTCGTCCATCTGTGCGTGTGTGTGTGCGTGTGCATGTGTGTGTGTAAACAAAGTGTCTGCCAACTCCGTGTGTCCCCAGACTCCAAGGCTTTAAATAGGGGCTCTAATTTTTTTGACTTTTTGGGTAAGCTTTTATTAGTTATTTTTTAGTGGGTAAAAATACTTTTGTAATTTACATTATAATTGTTAAATTATCTTTGTGGTATATAATTGAATTTATTTTCATCTTTTAATTTAATTTAAAATTAAATATTGAATTACATTAGATTTGGATGTAGATTTGTAATTTATGTAGCCATTTATAATTTATTAAGGGTCCATCTTTGCATGTTTAGTATTTTTAAATATCACAAAAAATGAATACTAATACTAATAATGGTAAATATTTTCATTTTTGTATTTTTAAATATCAAAAAATTTGAAAATTAAATGCTAACGATGTTAAATATTTTTGGTAACGTTTTTATATTTCAATTTCACCAAATTTAATGTGTTAGATGATATATTATGAGCTTATGATGTTTAAATGTTATTCTTTATATTTTTATAAAATTTTCATGATTTTTTAAAATTTTTGTGGGACTTCTATCTAGTATTTTTTGTGTATCGCCTGATACCGTGCTGCAATACTGCGACCGATGTGTATCAGTACCCTCCAAGTCAACAACCAATACTGCGACTTTGAACCATGCCTTATGCACAAGGTGTGCAACTGCCCTGCAATTACATTTTTTTTTTTTTTTAAATTTTATTTTCATGTTCTGGTGGGTACGGTTTATTGAGAAAGTTGAGGAGGAAGACAGATATAATAGATGATATTAGAGCAAGAAACTGATTTTACTGTTACTCTTTGGAACAGTTACATGACTTGTAGGACTTTATGGAGATCAGAGGACTATTAAATGAACTTCATTGGAAAAATTAGAGGGGTCCTAAGCTTAGGCTTTCAAGTGTGAAAATGTATGTTTTAGTTTGAAAGCAAGCCCTTAATAAAAACACAGGTGTCACTTTTACGTCACCTATTCCTTAAGCACCTGGATTGATGATATTGATATTGTTTCCCTTTGTCTTATTGTCACACGTGATTTTTGTCTTGTGTTTGTGCACTGGCTTAGATTTTTCATTTTTTAATGTACATGTACCATTTGATATAAGGAGCATAGGCTTAGAAATTGAACATATGATTTTAGTTGCAAATTTTCTACCTGTTGAGGGGGATGGTCAGTTTTTTGGTGCTTTAGGCTGCTTTCTTGCCTTTTTTCCCTTTTGTTATTCCTAAATTATAATGCATGTTCTTTTAATGTGCAGATTCTCTCTTTATGTAATATGGTGCAAAAGAGAAAAGCCAAAATCTTTGTGTATGGTCTTTTCTCTGTTGATTGGGCCAATCTCCCCTCCCTTAAAGAGGTGAACCCAGGAATTCTACCCTAAGAAGGTGGAGAAGTTAAATCTCCAATATGACATCAAATTGATCTACATAGTTGTGGTTAAAAGTTTAATAAGACATTTTGGAAAGAACTATCAAAGCTACATGTGTTGGAAGCTTTAACCACAAAGCTAAATAACTTTGTTTTTAGATCGGTGCCATGTAAAGGCTTTGTTTTAAGTTTCCAAAACTTCATAATTCTGTTCTTTTTTGTTAAATTGTATAAGGTTTAAAAGTCACTTACTAAAATACTTCGCGTATTAGAGGTGTTATACCTGGGTTAGGCACAAGGTCTATCATACTCAAGGAAAGTGATTTGTCGGATGCTAGGATGGAAGAAAGAGAAAAGGAAGGGGCAAAAAAAAGAAGGGGGGGGTGAGTGAGGTGAGAGCAAACCAGATAGAGAGGTCTCTAGAGAAAGAATGAATACTAGTAAATCATTCAATTCTTCTCATTTTTCCTAATTGACGTTGAGCATAAGTTCTATAGCTGTGATTTCTAGATAATTAATTGTGATTTCTTTTTCATGTGGATGATATGCATGCTAAATGGAGGTCATTGATTTGCATGGACCAAATAGCATTTGCATCATTTTGGTTGACTGTAATTTGTCTGTACACTGGTGGTGGAATTGTTTGTATTTAGATATAGTCTGCACCTTAAATTTAGGAAAGTGCACTCTTTGCAGTAGTCAACCATTTCTATGTGGTATTTTCTATATCTGATGAGAATACTACTGTTATATATGCAGCTATTGCCACAGTTGTCACCATTGCCGAAATTTTGAAAAACAATGGACTGGCTGTTGAGAAAAGTAAGACTTCTGATATTTTATTTTTCAGGATAGAAAATATTGTTCTCTTCATAGCTTTTAGCAGATATAATGAATATAATCTGCAGAGATTACGACATCTTCTGTTGATATGAAGGATGAATCAAGAGGGCGTTCCATCTCCAAAGCCAAAGTAAGTTTCATAATGTGGCCTATTTCTATGCTTTGTCAGATAAGGTCTTGTTTACGAATACGTAGTGGGATTTTGTTCGCTTTCTTGATCATTCTCATCATGTGCTTTCTCTTGGATTTGGGACTATAAAGCTTTACCTAGTGGGTTTAGGTTCTATTTTATGTTTAAAATTTTCATCCTAGCTCCTTTTCCATCCCTACCCAGAGGGTGTGTTTTCCTCTTTCTTATTTTGTGCATAAAAAAGCATGCCATCTTACTCATTTTGTTTCTTAGATTGAGATATTGCTGGGGAAGACAGCCAACTTTGATGAACTGATGGCTGCTGCTGCTGAGGAGAGAGCTGCTGGAGATGGTGATGAGCAGAGCTGAAAGGGGGTGCTCCTTAATATGTTTTGCTGGTTTTAATCTTTGTAGTTAGCAAAAGTTTATTCAGAAATTTTGGAGAAATTTTGGTAGCTGTTTGGATATATTTGTAGGATTGTCAAAACGAACTCCTTGGCAATTCAAAATTCAATTTTGTTTTTTGATCTCTTCTCTTTTGGTTACTGACCACATCTGACATGATAATGGTGTTTTACAAATTACAATTAACAGTTTAACATAGTCGGCCAAAAAAACTAAACTAAACTAAGGCATGTTTTGACAGAGTGATGCATTACACCTCCTAGTATTCCTCATATATGCTTTCTCTCCAACAAATGTGGGCGATGATGCATAATGTATTCTTATGTGGTCATTAATGTTTTGTTTAGTACGATGAAAAAAATAGAAAGAGGAAAAATTGAAAGGAAAGAAAATAAGAATAATGAAAAAGTAGATAGATTAACTTTCATTTTAATTAGTCATAACCCATGTCTGAAAACACGATAATATATAAAATTTGAGTGTCTGAAAAATTGATCCCACTATATTAAATTTTTTTAAAATACATTAATTACAAAGTAATCAAATATTAAATGATTAAATATATGATAGAAATAAGTGATGTGATATTTTTAAGGAAGAAATATATAAATAATTAAATATGTGATACGATTTGATATTTGAATCTGACAAATGGCTGATGAGTGAGATAAGTAATTGGTGATGGTTTTGAGGAAAAAAATATAACTGGGATAAAATTCAAACATACTTTTGTTTTATTATATAGGTTACTTATTACGTATACATTATTATTTTACAATTGTCCTTCTCCAAATTTAGTAAAAAAAAATTAAAAAATTTAATAAAATCAAATAAAATTTGACTTAATACCCAAAAAATTGATATAATTTATTATCCCAAAAAATTGATTAAATGAATTTCAATATATTAATTTGATAATAATAAAAATTAATTTGATATTAATTTGACAAAGTTGAATATAAATTGAACAAAATTAAATGTCAATTTTTGATAAAATTATATATTAATTTACAATCTAAAGTTCACTTTGTGTTGAATATTATTTTGTGTTTATAGTCAATGTGCTATTTTTTATTTACATTAAGTATTATTATTTATAAATTAAGAAGTAAGTGACAAAATACATGTCAAACATATAAAAACTTTGAATTAGTTAATAATTGCATAACATGTAATTTCATTTATTTTATGGAGTAAATAATAACAAAAACAACACATGAGGAAAAAAAATAGATAATAGTATGAGAGAGAAAGAAATAACTAGAGAGAGTTATATGAAATATAGGAGTTTTAGAGTTGTAAAATGAATGAAATTCTAATTAGAACCATTGGATTAAAACGATTTAAGTCGCAAAAAAACTCAAGACAAACAATCTAACTACTTTATTATATGGATATAATAAAAAAATTAAAAAAAAATACTTTTTCTATTTTATTAAACACAAAAAAATCAATTATTCCTACTTTTCATCTCTTACCGAACACAAAGAAGAGAAGATATGATTTTTCTCTTGAAGGATAAAAAGTGTATCACTCATCCACTCTACTAAACGGACCATAAAGGTGGCAAATTAAGAGGAACACAGCACCTCCTCTGAATATTTCTGGTAATTGGAGCACATCAACTGAGATTTTCCCTTTCTATAGTTTACATTTGAAATTTTCCTCTCCAAAAATAGTAAAGATTTTCAAAAATAATCAAATGTCTCATGACAAAAAGCTCAAATTTCCTTTTCCATCTTTATGGATCCTCTTCTTCCTCAACCAGTATCTTCTTGCACGCCTCATAGCACATGAAAGAAATTCCAGCAGCAGGGACCAATTTCATGCAGCTTGGTCCCAAACCCTTGTATAGACCAGGAACACCTTCCATCTCAAGTATACTTACAAGGGCATGAAGCATGTTCTCGTACTGTCTTCCATTGATAGCACCGGCTTGCATATGTTTCCGAGCAACCTCCAGAGGAAAAGTTGCACTACTTGAAATTGCACCTGATGCTGCTCCGATTAAGAGGGTTGCAACATTTCCAATTTCCTCCAGATCGAAAACCTTCTTGTAACCTTTCCTCAATGAATCATAAGCAAAATAATTGGTGGCAGCGTATGGGATTACTCCAATTATACTGGGGGTAAGGCCCCGGTACAGCTCTGCAGGTCCCTCTTCTTGCACAATTTTCAGAAAAGCATCTAGAAGATTCTTGTAATCACCCCTCTGCAAATAAACGATATCCATAAGTAACAAGCCACAACTACTTCATAGTTTATAATGTAAAGAATACAAATCTGAAAGCTTTTTTGTATACCTGGACGGTTAGTCGAGTTTTGAGCAACTCAAGTGGGTAGGTGCATAAAGTAGAGCTAATTCCAGCAATAGCACCTGCAATTGGAGATGCAGGTATGGGCAGTTTGGGCTGTTCTCCAGGTTTAGGCGTCAAATGCTTCTTAACCGTATCATAAGCAAACAACTGCAAAGAGTTTTACGGAGACACACTCGAGTGTTAATGAAAAATCTGGTGAATAATAGTCTGATGGTTCTTGGATTCTATTCAAGAAACTCTCATCAAGTGGACATTATGCAGACAAAATTAATGTATGTGATATTAAACGATACAACCCACCAAATAAATTAGTCACCAGAACTAGATAAGTTAACTAATTTTTGGACGTTTCAGCAAATTAAGGACAACTAGGTGGGATTCTTCCCACAAAGCAGATAACGAGTTGAAGGCTGGCCAATAAGATCTCATAAATCATTCTTCATTCAACTCAAGCTCGGAGTACATGCGCTAGACGGTTAAATTATTGTGGATGATCAAGTAGCTACAATGAGATAAATCGGAAGTATGATAACAATAATGGAACCCAAATATGCACCAAACAGCAGCCAAGAAGAGCCATCAGACACGCACACCCAACAGAGGGAAGAAAGATGAGAGAATCATGATGATTGTGACATAGAAACGGCTTGTCTTATAAGATTAGGAAGTTATTTGACTTACTCTCATTAATTGGAGAAAGTCCTATCAGGGTGTGGGGGAAAACATACAGAGGGAAAAGAAGTTCATGAGAGATGCTAAGAAACATTATAATGACACATATTTGAGTACCAACTTTTGTCATGATAAGTCAAAGGAATCTAAGAGGGTGTGCTTTCAATTTTAAGGCAAAATGTGTTCTCGAAGTAGATGAAGAACAAAAAGAAATAATGGCACAATGAACTACTAGATTTGACCAAAATTGTAGCTCTTCCTCCAACACCTCCCCCCCTCCTGCCCAGGATTCCAGAGGAAAATGTGAGAAGGCATTACGTCTGATCAGAATTTTCGGGCAAAATTTCTTGCAGTCTGCGCTAAAATATTCAGAGCCAAGGGATCCATGTTATGAATGTGAAAGATCTCTAGTTGATAAGTCATGTTGACCATCATCAATTAAAAAACTGTATCAGACCAATTAACAAAGCAAAGTAGCTTCCCTCAAAATTCCACAAAAATGGTTTGCATTCTCTTCCAATAACCTCATTTTGGTCTGAAATCATATTAACATGCAACTTGTTCATTATCCACGAGCAGTTGATTTTATAGGTTGACAAATGTTACCCCCTTAGCCATTGGCAACATTTGGCATCGGGTAGCCTCGCCCATAGGCACTCATGCCTTAGCCAAAAATGGCAAAAGTCCCATGCATGACTAAGAAAGGCAGTTCATACATATGGGCACGTGGGCACAAGTCAGCATGCCAGCAAGGAAGCGGGCGGCTTAAATTGTGGGGCGATGCTAGCTTGAATAATGAGCCATGGGCTGGGCCATAGTTAGGCACGAATGTAATGAAATTCGGATGCTGAAGGCTCCTGACACATGCACAACATGTGAGGAAGTTGGGCATGTGCTCTGTAGATGGTGGCAGTTCTGGACAGTTTTCTGGCAAGTGCATTGCATGTGGGATCTCTGTCAGATTTCGACAAGTATGCAGACACCAGTTATAACTTCCCTGTCATCCAATCATAGCAGACCTCTGGTAGCATTTGAATTACAGACATGTGCCTAGGCAGTTGGGCTTGTAACTGCCACCTTGAATATTATAAATAGGGTACTTGGGGTCTGTAGTGCAACAAGAGAGTTGGCACGTTTTGTAAACAGACCCCAAGGTTGAGTTCCTTATGCTTTATTGAGAAAGAAAGGTTTGGATGTTGCCTGTAAATTCTGTGTACCTTGCCTGTGTGTTTACTTACTGTCCATTCTCTGTTCTATGTGCATTTTGTGTGCATTTTGAGTGTTTGACTGAGACTAAGTGTTGGATCTTAGTGCTATCACGAGGCAGAAATTTGGTGAGAAATTTAACCCCAAGACAATTGGTATCAAAGTTTCAGTTTGCAACCATGGCTGGTGGAAACGCTGCTGAATTACGAGAACGTGTTGCCCGTCTCGAAGATTTTCTAGGCGCCCCTCAAACAGATGGTGCAACCAGCGTGACTGTGCAGATGGAACAATACACTATTCAGATTGCGGGATTACAGATGACTTTTGATAGTTATGTGTCTGACACCGATGCAAAGATTGTAACAATGATGGAGGATATCATGTTTCTCACAGACGCTGTCAAAACGAATTTGAAGGATCTTGAAGATGAAGTGTCCTTGGTGAAGAGGGCCATGAATTCTCGTCTTACTATGGGCGAGACATCTTTAAAGATTAAAGTCCCTGAACCAAAGGCCTTCCGAGGTACCGGAAGCGCTAAGGATCTGAAAAATTTCCTCTGGGACATGGAGCAGTAATTTAAGACAGCCTATGTGCTTGATGGAGAGAAAGTAACAATCACTAGTATGTATTTATCTGGTGATACCAAATTGTGGTGGAGGACCCGGAATGTGGACGATGCCTCTGCTGGTCGTCTAAAGATCGAGACGTGGGAGACCCTGAAAAAGGAATTGAAGGATCAATTCCTCCATAGCAATACAACTTGGATTGCTAGGAACTCACTCAAAAAGTTGAAACACACCGGAACAGTTCGTGATTACGTGAAGGAGTTTAGTTCATTGATGTTGGACATCAAGAACATGTTAGAGGAAGACAAACTCTTCAACTTTATGACTGGACTGCAAGGTTGGGCACAGACTGAACTGCGAAGGCAGGGGGTACGTGATCTGTCCACTGCCATTTTTGCAGTAGATGGCCTTGTTGACTTCAAAATGGGCGGCAGCCAAGGCCCTCCTGAGAAAAAAAAGAAGGATGATGGCGGCAGGAAAGATAAGGCTAGCACTTCCAAAGACGCAAAAAAAGCAGATTAGAAGAAAAAGAAGAACGTTGCTGACTTTAACAAGCCAGACAACAGCCAGAAGAAGAAAACTTTTGATTCTGGTTGTTTTCTCTACGGTGGCCCCCATCGTGTCAAAGACTGCCCCAAGAGGGAGAAGTTAAGTGTCATTGTTGCTGCAAGTGAGAATGATAGTGATGATGACTGTCCTACCCGAGTCAACCCTCTCCAGTTGCTGAACGCAATTACTGTGGGCAAAGTTTAGCAACCCTGCAAAGGCCTCATGTTTGTTCAGGCCTGGGTGAATGGCAAGGAAGTTCAAGCCATGGTGGATACTGGAGCCACCCACAACTTTGTTGCCCAGAGAGAGGTGGGAAAATTTGGCCTGAAATTGTCAGAGAATTCAAGCAAACTCAAGGCAGTAAATTCTGAAACAATGTCAGTACGTGGTACAACAAAAATACATTTAAAGGTGGGTCTGTGGGAAGGCCAAATGAGTTTGATGGTTGTGCCCTTAGAAGACTTTGATGTCATCCTAGGGAATGAATTCTTTGTTACAACAAAAGTGGCACTGATGTCACATCTGAACGGAGTGCTGATCACGGATGAGAAAGCACCCTGCTTTGTGCCTGCAGTCATGGCAGACCAAAACAAGAAAGATAGAAAGCGAAAGGTGGGAATGTTGTCAGCTATGCAAGTAAATGCTGGATTGAAGAAGGACGAGATGACATACCTCACAGCCTTGGTGGAGATTAAACTAGATGTGCTGGCTAAAGTACCTGATACTATGGCAGATGTACTGGTCGAATTTGCTGATGTTATGCCCCCTGAACTCTCCAAGAATCTTCCACCCTGATGTGCAATTGACCACAAGATAGAATTGGAGCCTAGTGCAAAGCCTCCAGCCCGTGCCCCTTACAAGATGTCGCCAATGGAACTGGCAGAATTAAGGAAACAATTGAACGAGTTGATAAATTCTGGCTGCATGAAGCCATCCAAGGCGCCATACGGAGCCTCTGTTCTGTTCCAGAAGAAGCAAGATGGATTGTTGCGCATGTGCATCGATTATCGTGCCTTGAACAAGGTGACTATCAAGAACAAGTACCCTGTTCTGAATGTTGCTGATCTGTTCGACAGACTGTCCAAGGCCACTTTCTACACAAAGCTGGATCTTAGGACTGGATATTGGCAGGTTAGAATTACAGAAGGGGATGAGCCAAAGACTGCGTGTGTGACACGTTATGGTTCTTTTGAATTTCTTGTAATGTCGTTTAGGCTCACTAATGCCCCGACAACTTTCTGTAATCTAATGAATGATGTTTTTTACGATTATATAGATGTCTTTGTGGTTGTTTACTTATATGACATTGTAATCTATAGTGAAACGCTGGAGGATCACATAGATCATTTGAGGGCTGTGTTCTCACGGCTTAGAGAACACCAGCTGTATGTCAAAAAGGAAAAATGTGAGTTATGTCGCCAAGAAGTGATGTTCTTGGGACTTTACATTAGCCAGGGCAAAATCCGGATGGATGAGAGAAAGGTGAAGGCAATTGTTGATTGGCCTACACCAACCAAGGTGTCTGAATTGAGGTTGTTTCTTGGCCTAGCCAATTACTACCGCAAGTTCATTGAAGGATATTCAAAGAAGTGCAATGTCCTGACTGACTTGCTGGAATGATGCCTGTCAGACAGCTTTTGGGAAGCTGAAGCATGCAGTATCCTCTGCACCTGTACTGAGATTGGTGGACCTTGATCTGCCTTTCGAAGTGCACACTAATGCCTCTGACCGCGCCATTGGAGGAGTCCTTGTTCAGGAGGGACACCCTATTGCCTTTGAAAGCCGAAAACTGAAAGATGCTGAGCAGCGATGTTCAGAACATGAGAAAGAAATGATTGCTGTGGTACATTACCTTAAAATCTGGAGGCACTACTTGCTGGGAACGAAATTCACTGTTATGACAGATAATGTAACAAACACTTATTTCAAGACCCAGAAGAAGTTGACCCCGAAGCAGGCCCGATGGCAGGAATTTCTTGCTGAGTTCGATTTTGTATGGGTACACAGACCCGGGAGGCAAAATCAAGTTGCTGATGCGTTGAGTAGGAAGGAGGTCCAAGAATATGTTGCTGCACTGTCCAGTGTGCAGACTGACTTCCTGGCAAGAGTCAAAGAACGTGCCCAGACTGATGTTGCTTACGGAAAATTAAAGCAACAAGTTGGCGAAGGTTTGGTGCGTAGATACTAGATTGATGATGATCTGTTCTATGCTAAAGGGGGCAGACCCTATGTTCCTACGGGAGGGGAACTACGACTGGAGTTGCTGCGTGAGACACATGACTCTTAGTGGGATGGACATCCAAGAATAGAGAGGATGCTTGCATTGCTGGCTCGCTTCTATTACTGGCCTAAGATGGAAGACGATGTTGAAGCCTATATCAGAACCTATCTAGTGTGCCAACTTGACAAGGTTGAGAAGAAAAAGGCAGCAGGCTTGCTACAACCCCTGCCCATTCCTGACAGACCGTGGTAGTCAGTCTCGATGGATTTCATTTGCAATCTACCAAAAGGTGATGGCATGCGTTCGATCATGGTGGTGGTCGATCGTTTCTCTAAGTATGCGGTGTTCATTCCTACACCTCATGCT